AGTTTCATAGGTTGATAAAGATTATGCAATTCCTTATCAGTAATGGTTTGTAGTTAACGATGGAACACCATGTAGTGACAGCTAATGCTGGTGGGGAAGGGATGTGTCCATGGTGGGGGTATAAATAGGTTTCTAAAGCTAGAAATAAAACAGTTGGATTATTATATTGGAGACTAATGGCTCAATGCTGAAAAACTTTGGGTAACATGGCATGTCTTGGTGTGTCAGGAATCTAAATGAGTTTGATGTTAAGTAATCAAAACCATTGATTCTACATGCTGAACTGGACATGCAAGTAATTTGCACAGTGAGATAAGTTTGCAACTATTGCATACTAAAGTTAACATTGGCAGCAAATAAGTATGTATGCTAAGCAGACAGCCAGATTACTGGGACCTAAAAGGACTACCACATTAAATGATTATGCTCTGCTTTCCAAGGATTTGAACATGGTACACATATGTAACTTAGAATCCGACATGTGTTGTGTGTCTGGGTCCCAAGTTATGTTCCATGTCCATGGCATGCTACCTACCCTGTGTAAAAAGGTGGGCCCAACCTATTTGACAAACTGAACTCCTTGGAAGAAGAGAGTAATGAAAGTCTAGGCCAAAGAAATAACCACCACATTCTCAAGGAATTTTAGGGCTATTTTCTAAAGCACTACTTCCACCAAAGATCCTGAACAAGCAAAACCTAGGGTATGGACAAACTAACAGAGTTAAAGTACAGTTATAGGACTTTACATCTCTTTGCTGTAACTTTTTCTTGTCTGTTTGCTCTATTAAGTGGAAGCAAAACTACTGTAACTTTAAGCATGTTTCATTTAGGTTTACAATTACAGCCATTTAGCTCCAGGATAGTGATACAGGAGCAGAGAGTCTAAACAGGTCCATCGGTTCAACTGGCACAGTTAAAATGGTTTATCATTATGTCAATCCACAGCCCTACTTTAGGCAAAGTAACACCTAGAAATACTGTTCGATAGACATTTTTTCCCTGTCTCCAAATACCTGTTACCATTGGTTAGTACTTCAGCTGTTCATGAGCCAGCTAAACTATAGGTTTTAGTTACAGAGGGGTTGTAACTTGAGTCCATTGCCATAATCTGGTAATATCTGAAAAAAACAAAGGCACTTAAGCAGTCTCCCAGAAGCTTACAACCAAGGCTATGGAACAAAAACAATGACTGTAAGTATAATCAAAATAGTGCTTGTGAGTGAGAGTGGGTTAACACTACAGCCTACATTTTCATTCCATTTATTAAGAATTTGGATGAAATTTCTTCTATGTGGCAATTTATTGCATTTTTTTTCATAACTACAACCTGATTCAAGTAATGTATATACGCGATCTGAATTCTTTTGTTAGTCTAAAATAGCTTTCATCTTTTCTGAAAATTTTTTAACATTTGTATATTCATATGACCTAAATTAAGGTATATTCTTCAATGGTATAATTTGGGAATACTGAATAGCTAATCTCAACATCTACCTCCTCTCATCACCGCCATTTTCCCTGCGGAAAGTGTTTTACAATAACTCAATTTGTAGTTTGTACATCACATTCAATGGCAACAATTTTGGGTCTGGTTTCTACTTCAGCAGAAAATGGGGTTCCTCAATATGCAGGTTCTAATGTATATAAATGCAGAATGATAAGTATCTTGCTCTTTTCCCATCATTGTTAATTACCAAGTTATTTGTGTGTAAACAGAAGCTTTTGATTTCCTAATCAGCCTCCTGCCTGATTCATTCAGAGATGTCACACACCAGAGTTTGACAGCACAATTAGTCACCATGGAAGCTATTGCGATGTCACAAACACTGAATTGTGGCATCACTGAATGAATCTGGCAGGAGAAGGATGTTGGTTACAAAGGAGAAGGCTTCTGTTTACACAATACCTTAGTAATAAGCAGTGATGGGAAAGAGGATATAAGAAAGGAAGCCTGGTAGTTTAATGAGCATTGATAAAATTTTAAAAAGGTTGTTAGAGTAGAGTATCCACAGTTTAAAATGGAAGAAATATAAGATTTTTTAAAACTTGGACTGTTATTTTATTTTTTGCACTATGGACTGAAAGTGTGCCACTTTATATGAATGAGTTTCCATTTTATGTTTAGCTGCATTTTACATTAAAGAACCACCTAATTGGAAAAAATTAGTAATTTGGCTAAGCATTTGAGAGAGAACTTGTGGAACAGTAAATTTAGCTGTGCTTACCCATGCTCATTTAGGACACCGTAAGTCCAGCAAATTATTTCTCTATGTATCAAAGCTCTGAATTAAATGTTTTAAAGACCTTTAAAAATCTGCAGCAATACCCATTATGCCAATATTCATGATTACAATTAATGCTTTACCCACTCCTGATCATTTCCTTCATAGCCTTTTAAAGGCAGAAATTCATCATGAAGTACGCTGGTTAACATTTCAAGTGCCATAGTCTTTAAGGTAATTGCACTCTCTCATATGCAGTTAAGCACTGTATATGCAGTGCCTGAGTAACATGCTGTAACAAGCTGCACATCAGTGCTACTACTAATCAGTTCCACAAAATAACAGTGAAAGCCAGATTAAATAGCATGAGATTCTTTCAGGTATTGTAATTAAACCAATTCACAGTGTTATTTAATTCCCCACAGTTCTTCCCGTTACTGCTTTCTTGAAACTGTAACCATGGCACCTTAATTTAAATCAGGTGGAGCAGCTGCTGCCTAGAGAGCAGATGCCAATGCTGGTCCAGGAATTGCCCATGCATTGCAGACTATACCAACAGTCTTCCCTTCCCCCAGCCCCCAAGTCAAGTGCAGTCCACCCCCCTCCCCCGCCATCAGTATGTAGCTTTCATAACCATACTGTAGGTATGCAAGGCTGAGACTCTTTACCCAGGTCTCGCAGCTGGTGATGAGCTGAGCTGATTCTCAGGGCCAGTACTCTTTAGGGATCAAGCTTAATTTGCCTAAGCTGTTTATTTGCAACAGCCTCAAACACAGCAAGGTAACAAAGCACTAGTGTGAAGGCTAGATTCACATACACAGTCACACATCCACACACGCACATGCACGTACACAACACATAGGAGGGAAAGGGGGAAAAAAAAGTTAAAATGGCTCAAATAGTGAGCACATTATGTTTTAAGACAAAGCACAAAAGTAAATTTCAGCCCATGTTACAGAGAGAAACTTTTAATTCACATGAAAACAGGTGAAAGGACACATTGAACATTCAGTTAGCCATGCCACCCCCTTGGCTGCTCCCTACCTAATCCTAGTTGAGGGTGATGCTCCACTAGGGTCCAGCTGTTATCATCCACACAATGACTTTTGTAAACGAGAAGCTGGCAGAGGTCCCTGGCTGTCATGTCTGCTAGAATCTCGACCACTTTGCTTGTTCCATCTTCACTAAAGACTTTTACATCCTGCAACATAAAGGACATGCTTACAGATCAACGGCCTTGTGTTGAAAACATGCAAACCACACAGTTACCATGCACAGCATCCCTTTTTACAAATTTCAGGCATCTTGGCAGCCAGCACACATGAAACATACAATTTACTTTTGATCACTTTCTTCTCATCCCCTTTATTCCCTCTCCCAGCATTAAATGAAGACTGCGATTATATTAATTCTGCCCACATCAAGTGAAAACAGAGGTTCCTTCTGCAACAGATCAAGGCAAACCAAAATGCAACAATACCAAGAGTGTGTGCTTCTGGAACACGTTTAAAAGAAAATTTGCTAACGAGTTTAGTTTCGGGCCTTTTGCTTTTGAACATTTACACTGACGTTAGTCCTGTTTCTAAAAATTAAAAATGGCTCTCTTGTTCAGCACTAACTTTTGACTGTTTCACTTTGGAAGTTTCACTTGCAGTTCACCCTCAAATCGATTAATTAGCCCTGTCCACTTATCTCTCTCTCACTCTTGAATTTATTTTCCACTTGAGAATTTGACTAGTTTGAAATCAAACAAGCATGTACTGTATGTTCTAAACATTAATGGAGATAAAAAGAACATGTCAGAAACCTCCCCCAACCCTTGAATTATACAGATGCTTTCCTGTTGGCATTGTTCTGCTCAAACAATATACGCTTACTGCAAAATTATATCCCCATACAATCAAATTTTCAATATCAAGCATTAAATTAACCCCACATTAAAACACTGTGCATCCTAGCAAGAAAGGAGATAGATATTTATCTAGCAGAAACCTGAAGGGTAATTTGATATGGAAAATCTTACCTCAACAGCACGTAAAAGGCAGCAGTCAGAAGAACAAGATGGCATTTTAAATATAGATTGCCTCTTGAAAGAGAGTTTGTTCTCTACCTCCTTCCAACCCTCTGCAGACTAAGCTGCACACACTGGGCGTTTTATCGTTGTCAATGGATTATTGTACTGTACCTGTCACGTAGCCCCTGTTGTGGGTACTGTTTCTGGGGAGGCAGACAACTCTTCCAGAGCTCCACTCAAAGGGTTACACGCAATCTTTGCGGTAGTGAATCAAACCACACTGTGTAGACCAATCCTAGCCCTCTCTGTGACTGATGTAATCATTTCCCACACACTATCAGACTTCCAAATTATCCCCCAGCCCGGCAAGAAAAAAAAAAATTACATAGGAAATTTGTTTTTTTATGACCACCCACATACGTTTAAAAAACCTCTGATATCAAAAAGTTCAAAGGAAAAGAAGGCACAAATTCCAGAGCCTAAAGCAGGCATGCTCCCTGAATTCTGATTTCTTTGCCAAATCTCTCAATAGCCCAGCCTCACAGCAGCTGATGTCATCTACATGCAACTTAAGCACTTGAACTTCTACTCCGCTCACTACTGCTACCTCTTGCTTCGCCTTAGCAGGCTCACCCCCCTCCTCCTGATCCTTTAACAAAGTGCTTGCTTAGTGCTCTGAGTTCTCATTATAACAGACTGTGGATTTAACAAGTGGAATATGTGCCGCTCGTGTGCGTGCCTTGCTCTAGTGCTACAGGTTAAAGCCAGTGCTATGTCACTGATTAGGTATGCCACTGACTGAATGCAGGACAACTTCCACCTCCCTCATGTCTTCCCCCAACCCCCACCACTCACTTTCCTTTCCCACAGCTAAGGACAAACTCAAGCCCAGTTAGGGAGGAGTTAAAAGCTTAATCTAGCTAACGTGACTCAAACCCATGCATTCAGGAAACTGCTTCGTCTGACAGCAGGGATGAGCCAGCTCTTTCAGAAGTCGGCTCTGGAGAAGAGGAGGGGGAATCCCCGTTGCTGTAGCTCTCAGGAAGGTATGCATTCTGTACAATGTTACAGCTGCACACAGACTGCTGGTAACACTTCACCGAGCCTCAGAAATCCTAGCAAGGAGCTGTTTGAGGGGGTTTCCCACTGTTCTGGGCCCCCTAGACAAATTTATTTTCTGCAATTCACACATTTTACAGTATAAATATAAGGCATTATTCCACACACAGCCATCTCAAGGTTGAAATATGAACGTTACCAAACTACTTTGCAAAGTTTGCTGTGAACGGGGAAAAGTGATGAATGCCCAAGCCACTGAAGAAAAGCACATGAATCAATGACGGAATGGACTTCTACATTCGTTGTATGGATCTAGAAGGCAATTTCAAAATAAAACTTACTGTTCTTCAAGAAAAGAAAGGTTGGGGGGGTTTAAGGAGGAAGGAAGAAGAAAAGGAGAGAATGTAATTTTCATTTTCAGATTCTGATCTATCGTTAGAACCGATACCAAAAAAAGAGAGTAAGCTATTTTTTTTTAAAGGGGGAAAAATCATCTTTTATTAGTTCATTTTGTACACCTGACTCCACCCTCCATAGCAGAACAAAATTACTTAGTTGCACTTCCTATCTCATGAACTAACCTGCAGGCATCACTCCTGCTGCTGCAAAAGGAACGTTCTTACACTTCCTGCTTCCCAGGCCCAAGAGATAAAGAGCTGTTTCAACTGGGAATGGCTGATGAGGACTTGTGAAGGACAGGAAGAAGAGCCATAAAACACTTGGCACCCTTCTTCCCATTACCAGAGAGAAGGAAAAAATCAGTGAAGTCAGCTGGAAAAGGTGCTAGTACCCTCTCACTAACTTGTTCTCTAGTTGCCCCGTGTGCACTGAAATGCTTCCTGTATTACTTAGTGCCATTTTCTTCCCTGACTCCCTATTCACACACAGAAATGCACCACTGACATTTCTACTTTTCTTTCTATAGCTATGTACTGTAGGAAGAAACCCAGTATCTGCTTCTGTAAGCTATTGCTAAGGCTTTATTAAATATAGCATGGAATTCACTCAAGACTTTAAGAAAAAGATTTCGTTCCTTAGATGTTGCTGAGGGATCAGAATACAGCAGGTAGCCAGAATAAAAGCAAACAACTTAATTTCATCAGCTGTTAATCAAGGACAGCACGTGGCCACATGTCACCAGACGCTCCGGACACAAAGGACCATGTTGCTAGCAGGACATAATGGCCTAATTCAAACACTATTCCAGTAAGGGAACAAGGGAGAGCAAGCAGCAAAGGCAAAGCCCAAAATCTTTACAGCGTAAAATATGACATTTAGGGGTCTGAGACAGGAAGAAAAGCTGAGTTTGATTTCATTCAGGCGACCCACAGAATATTGTGTGGTAAGGGCAAACTTTAGATATTATGAGGTTCCGGGCAGCGGGGGGAAGAGGGAGAAGGAAGGGGAGAGAAAGGAGAAGCTTAGCTCTTACAACCATTTTGTTAATATTGCAATAATCTCAATAGTACTAAAATGGTAAGAGGTGCGTGTGTGTTTGTATGTGTGTCCATGTGTGTGTACGTGTGTTACAATGTGCTGTCACCTAATATAAACTTGTAAGACTCCATTCTGAAGCCTGTATCTAGCAGAAATGCCATACTCGAACACACATGATATTGCTATGTAAAACACTACAGTTCTATTACAGGAACATAAATTTCACCTGCTTATTTTAATAGCATGAAGGCTCCCCCCACCCGCCTCACCATGCTTCACTAAGACAGGGTCCAGAAAATTAGTTTTAAAAAAAATTTTCACCCTGCCCTTCTGAGGCAAAATAAAACAGTAAAATGCTTATAATAAACATTTACAAAAATGCTCTTAATTACATCAGCAGCATGAGGCACCTTCTATTCAAAATTAAGGGTAGGAATGTTCAGCCAATCGGAGCACTAGATTGGCTGAACATTCAGTGCCTTACAAACGCAAAAGAACAGATAACAGACTGCACCATTGTTCTATGAAGAATTCTTTGAGAGAGAGAGAGAGAGAGAGAGAAACTTAAATTGAAAGCACTTTAATGTACATCACTTAAATGGTTTCATGTCATGGCCACTTATGACTGATAACATCCACCCACCCCCTCCTTCCTCCCCCCAACACTTCTTCCCTCCCAATCCCACACCTTCCCTGTATCAACTAGAGTGACTTGGTTACATGAAGTAAGAGAGACGAATAAAAAGAACAAGATTTAAAACAGTTCTTTGCCAGGGCTGTATTAAATTTTCATCCCTTCTCCTAATATTTTAATTTGTGCACTTTCTTCTTCCTGCAAATGAGTGTTATTGCAAGTACCTTGTGCAAGGCAGGAGTAACAACTACTTCAAACGAAAGACTATAAAGGGAAATTTTCATATGCTCAACTTTCTGGAAAACTTTCAACATTCAAAACTGAGTTGACCTAGAACTTGCTTTACTTTAAAGATGCCCCCCCCAACACCGTATACTAGTTATTCGACTTCTTGAAAAAAAGAGACATGGCAGTGGATTAGTTTCATTTTACTCATGAACAACTTGGTTGAAAACTTACACTCCTTAGGGGGTGCATCTATGCATGCAATTAATGTGATGCAATAAACTCTGGAGCAGTTTAAGCCAGAGTAAACTGCTCCTGGACACACCATCTACACAAGTGCCCAGAACAGCAGGAATTTGAGCCGGGGCAGATGGCCGGGGCTAACTAGGTGCAGTTTATGCCCGTAGTCAGTATCCACACATGCGTTTCAGTGAAGTAAATTACACTGCTGTAAGGCAGTCTTATGTTGGAGTTAATTAATTTACTGTGCCCAAATACCAGCACACGTAGATGGCGATGCTTTACTGCAGAACTAATTAGTTTACGCCACAGTAAAGCGCATGTGTAGATGCACCCAGTGAGTAGCAGCTGGTTCATAGGAAAGTGACTAAGGACATGTTCACATTATAAAGTTTGATAGAGTTTAGCTCAGTCAAGCCTAGACCTCCTTGTAATAATCAGACCCTGGTTTTCCCAATTTCTCTAGGCATCTCTGGAGCTGCTGGGTGAGAAGCATGTTCTAAGTGTCTCACTTGAAACACATGAGGCAATTCTAACATTTTCTCCCTCCAGATTTTTCTGCAGTGCTGGGGTAGGAGAGCAACAACAGAAG